CCTAACAAACTTCTGGTGTCCCTTTTCCCACCTGGGACTCCGGTGTTATCCCAGTGGGAGGCTCCATGGTCCCATGGATTCTCATTCCAGCTGTAGCACTGCCTGTTCTGTGTCACCATGTTCCACTTCTTCCCAGTCCAGTGTCCTGGGAGCCCCCACACCTCTCCTTCATCAGACAAAATACATTTTGTGTCTTCCAGTGTCCCCTTTTTGTGCTGCTCCTGTGTCCCCTCGTTTCCATGGATGCTGGTCCAGCTGCCAGAGTTGGACACTCCTTTTTATTTGGGATCCGAATCTGCAGCACCAAACCCTGGGATTTGCCCCAGGATGCTGGCTGGGCTAGAAGTGATTCCCAGGTCTGGATCCTTGGTGTCCAGATCCAGCTGTTCTGACCCTGAGTGACCCAGTGGTGCTGCTGCAGGGGCTGGGCTGGGCCTTATCCTGACCTCCCCTGTCCCAGCTCTTCCCTCTCTGCCTGGGCCTTGTTCCCACTGGATGCTCAAGCCTGAAGTCCTCCAGTTCCTTCACATTATTCCAAAGGGATCCCTCATCCATGGGATTCTGTTCATGGACCTAAATTGTTTGATCTCTCCATCCTTTATTCTCCTCCCTTGTCCAGCCCAGCTCCCACCCAGTCTGACTCTTACTGGTTCCCAGTAAAGGTCTTGGCTCAGCTGGGATCTCCAGACAGGATTGTGAATAACAGCTGGGTTGGAATCTTGCTTGTCCAAGGGGCTCTTGGTTGTTTGTCTTGGAAGCTCATCCCTGGAGGGTTTTCAATGTTTTATTTCCTTGGTCTTGAGCAGAAAAGACCATTTCCATCAGCTTTATGTTGTGTTTATTCATAAAATCCCAGGCTGATTTGGGTTGGATCCTTAAGGATCATCCAGTCTCACCCCCTGCCATGGGCAGGGACACCTTCCACTAGCCCAGGTTGCTCCAACCTGGCCTTGGACACTTCCAGGGATCCAGGGGCAGCCACAGCTTCTCTGGGCAACCTGTGCCAGGGCCTCCCCATCCTCCCAGCCAGGAATTCCTTCCCAGTACCCATCTAACCCTGCCCTCCTTCAGCTTAAGGCCATTTTTGGATGAGCCCCCCTGTCCCGGTGTGGGTGAGATGTTCTTTGCTCCCTTTCCCCTAATTCCTGCTCCACAGGGAACTTTGCAGTTTCTGTGCCTGGAGCTGCTCTCCTTGTCCCAGAAGGCTGATGGAGATGAACTTCCCTGTATTCCCTGGGATACCCTCGGGCTCTCCAGGCAAGCAGCTCCCCCTGCTTTGGTCACGCTTAAGGATTTGGGAGGAAGATGTGGCTGATGCCCCCATGACTTGGATTTGCTGCAGCATTCCCGGTCCCACTCCTGGTTTTGTGTCTGCAGTGATTGTGGGGTGCTCCTGGGTTTGCTCCTCTCTGGAGTAACACTGGGCTCACACGATTTCTCACAGACACCGCTGGCTCTGAGGTGGTTTGGCCCAGGCTGGGATGACCCCTCTGGAAGGGGCACAGGCTGCCATGTGCCCCCCTCCCTGCAGTTCCACTTGCATTCCTGCCGGGATGTGGCTCCCTGGCTCTGTCCCTGCAGGGAGCTGTTTGCTCTGACATCCCCCCAGCCCACGGGCTCTCATTGTTCCAAACTCACTTCCCCCGGGCTTTGTTTCTCTGATCCTTGGCAAAGCCCACGTGTGGCCTTGGCAGCCAGGGCAGGCTCATTCCCTGTGTCCACAGGGAAGGGAATTCCTGACCCAGGTGTCATGCCCAGAAAGGGGGGGGGGGTTTATCTTCAGCCCTTTTTGCTGCTCTTGCTGAAGGAATTTGTCGTTTGTTTTGCTGAAAGCAAAAGTGAAGAATTTGAATAATAATTGCAGGCTGTTAATTGCATGCACAGGAAGTCATTCAGAGGGATTTGATGTCCTGGAATAACAAAGTATCCTGAGCTGGAAGGGACCCACCAGGACCATGGAAGTCCAGCTCCAAACTTTGTTCACTTTGTGTAAATGAGGCTCCTCAGTCCTCACCCTTCTGACACAAGGGGGTTAGAAAATCCCTGTTACTCTGTTCCAAGAGCTCCTGCTATGTATTTGATCTCTGGCCTGAAATAAAGCACCACAAAACACAGTTGATTTTTTCTTATTTGACTGAAAGCTCTTTTAATAAGAATTTAAAATAAGAAGTTTAACACACTTTCAGCAAAGAAGGTTATCAAAAGGACTTCTCTTTTTTCTGGTTTTTTTTTTTTCCTTTGAAAAGGAGAATAATGGCAATAAGTGACTCGGTTCTGGCCTAATAAAGCTTTTAAAACCTCCCCAAATTGTTGTCACCGTGGAGGCAAAGCAGAAGCACTTGAGACATTTTGAAGGAAATATTAACCCTAACTTGCTGTTTCTCCTTGCTCCCTCCTGCTGTCCCAGGAAGCCACCCTTCCCACGGGGATGGAGATGTTCTCGCTGAATTCCCTCAAAGGTAAGCCCTGGCAGCTCCCTCAGCTCCAGCAGAGCTGGGCCTTGGTGGGGTTTAATGCTTGGGAGAATTAAGTTGTGTTAGGAACAGGAGGTGGCTCAGCTGTGCCCTGGTCAGTGCAGCAAGGAGGGAATGTGGCAGGAAAGCTGTCCCGAGGAGGGACAGACAGAATTTCAGGGAACAAGGGAATTGGGAAGGGGAGGAGCCCTGTGTTGTCCAGGGGAGACCCTGGACACTTGTTTGCTGTTTACCTCAAAGTAAAGGCCTTTTTTCCCTCTCAGTTTTTCCCTCCTGAACATTCCTGCATCCTTTAGTACCAGTTCCATGAGCTCTTTCTCCCTGGGGTTTGATGCTTTAGCACCTGGCACTGTCTCCATGTCCCTTTTCCCCATCATTGCTTTCCCAGCCTTTCCTTCAATCATGTTTTATCCTGAGGAATCCCTCCAGTCACCGGCTGGTTTCTGGTTTGATTTGTTGTCCTTTCCTGAACTCTCCTACTTGGTCTTAAATCAGGTTTAAAGAATGGAATAAAATATTCCAGCTCTGGCTGAAGCAGAGGGATCACTCCCTCCCTCTGCTTTGGCACTGGGGGACCCAGCAGGGAGCCCAGCACTGCCCTGCTCCTGAGGCACCAGCACGGGGGGCTGGATTGAAACCCGGAATTCCCGGGGTGCTTCACACATCCAGGGCAGGAGTGCTGGGAAATGTGGGAAGCAAACCCTCTCCTCCAGCAGACAGCGTGAGTTGGGGTGGAGAGAAGGGACTTTCCCACTGAGGGCTGGTGGTTTGTGGTGGCCAGGCTGGCTCTGGGACTGGGGATTCTCCAGCCCTTGGGATAAAGGCATTCCTTAATGAACCAGGGCTCGTTAACAGCTGCTGCCTCTGCACGGGCCTGGCTGGAGGAGCTGATCCGGCCCCAGCCCATCCCAGGGAGCTGCCAGAGCCTGGGAGCTGCTCTGGAGATTATCCTGTGCTGGTTAAAGCTGCTCCCTGTGAAATAAAGATCCTGGGAATGGGCCACTTCTGGAATGTTTTAATGAACTGAGTCGTCACTGCTTTTCTGTGCTCACAAGATAATTTCTGTATCTGTGACAAACCACCAGCCCTCACCCCTGACTGTCCCACATTCTGGGACTGACTGCCAGCCTCTGCTCCCAGCCCTCCCCATCCCACTGGCTGTGTTTTTCCAAGACTTTCCCCAGGCATTGACTTTATTCATCTGGTTTGTTGGCTTTGCTTTCCCCACCATCTCCTGGGGATCTCCCTCCCGTGTTCCTTCTCTCATGTTCAGGACTTGAAACAACTCTGTAGCCATGGTTATAATTTGGTTTTCTTCCCTGCTGGACAGTTCATTTGCCTCCCCTGGAGCTGTGGGAAACACTAAAAACCCCAGCAAATACATCAAATTAAGCTGTTACACAGCAGATTTCTCTTCCCAGAAGACAGAGGAATTTTCCCAGCCTCCCTTTCCTTCTAGTCCTCCTTGGAGCTTTTGTTTCCAAACCACCTAAGCTTATTTCTGAATAAATAGTAAAAATAATAGTAAAAAAAAATAAAAATAATAGTTTGTACAACGTGCTATCAAAAGATTTACACAAAATTAATCCTCTTAAATTGCATGACTTGTTTCCCTTTTTAGTGATATGAATGATTTTTGAATGAACAATCAGCTTTAAATGATTTTTTTTCCTTTTTAGGGGACCAATGCTCTTAAAATCTGTACTCTAAGTGCCAGAATAACTTCATGTCTTTAAAAAAAAACGCATTTGTTTGTGTCTTCTGGTGCTGTTTCAAAATCTGGGGTTTTTTGTTAGCATTCAGATCTTTTTTTAAGTAAAACTTACAGAGACAAACCACAACTAATGCAGAGGTGCTAAAAAGTGTGAGTACAGAAAAAGGCAAATTTGGTTTAGTGACACTTCATTTTTTGAGTGTTCAACTCCTCCAAAGTTGGTGTTTTTATTTTAAAAGAGGGGTTTATTTGATAACTTTCCTCTTCTTGAACCTCTTCTTGTGGAGCTTTGTAAAACTGAACTTTGCCAGTATCATAGTCAATATTTTTGTGACTTATTGAAGATTTCTCTTTCTGATTTAAAAATAAACAGAAAAAAACCAAAAAACCTCCTAAAACCCCCCATTTTTTCATCCAACTATTCATGTAAATTTTCGCTTTGCACAGAGAATGCTCATAATAAAGTCTTTGACACAAAAATGAGACCTTGGCTTAAAGAAACACAAAACTTAGTGGTTGTCCCAGGTGCAACCAGGGCTGATAAAATTTATGTAGATTGATTGCTTAGAATAATAATTCAGATTTAAATAAATAAATAAATCCTGTAGGGTTGGAATTTCAGCTCCACAGCCTTGAGAATTTTATATCTCAAAAATGATGATTATGTGAAATAATTATTGATATATGTGCATTATTGATATATATGAATTGATTACTGTCATTTATATGTGAAATAATTTTTGATATATATGAATAATAATTATATTAAATAACTCATGTAGAACCAAATCATAACTTGGAATAGGGAGAAGTGGGGAAGAAGGGGAAGTGCTGATCTATTTTATGAAGATTATAAGATCTTTAGAGAGATTTTAGACTTTACAAAGATTTAAGATTTTTTTTTTAAGACTTAAGATTTTATGAAGATTTAAGGTTTTATAAAGATTTAAGATTTTTAAACGGGTTTAAGATTTTATGAGGATTTTGGATTTTAAGACCTTTTTAAAGATTTATAAGGTTTTAAAATCTCATAAAGGCTTTAAGATTGTTGGTGTTTACCTTAAATATTTGTAAATAAGGGGCTGCAGGATGAGTTATTTTCAGTACCGTGCTCACGGATTGCCTGGGCTGGGGGTGTGCTGGGTGTGTGGAGCTGGGAACAAACCCCAGAGGAGTTTCAGGTCCCAGGGGAGTTCCCGAGGTCACTTGTGTGAGACCATCCCCAGGCTGGCTTTGCCTGCAGGGGGAAGGACTGAGAGGAAAATGTGGGGGAGTGGAACACGGGGCAGGAGCTGGTGCTGGGAGCTGGGAATGTGTGTGTTCCCTGTCCCAGGGCAGGAGCTGGGAGCTGGGAATGGGGGATGTTGTGTTCCCTGTCCCAGGCAGGTGCTGGGAGCAGGGAATAGGGGGTGTGTTCCCTGTCCCTGGGCAGGTGCTGGGAGCTGGGAATGGGGGGTGTTGTGTTCCCTGTCCCAGGCAGGTGCTGGGAGCAGGGAATAGGGGGTGTGTTCCCTGTCCTTGGGCAGGAGCTGGGAGCAGGGAATGGGTTGTGTTCCCTGTCCCTGGGCAGGAGCTGGGAGCAGGGAATGGGTTGTGTTCCCTGTCCTTGGGCAGGTGCTGGGAGCTGGGAATGGGTTGTGTGTTCCCTGTCCCTGGGCAGGAGCTGGAGCTGGGAATGGGTTGTGTTCCCTGTCGCAGGGCAGGGGAAGGTGCTGGGAGAAGGGAATGGGTTATGTTCCCTGTCCCAGGAACTGGTGCTGGGAGAAGGGAATGGGTTGTGTTCCCTGTCGCAGGGCAGGGGAAGGTGCTGGGAGCTGGGAATGGGGGTGTGTTCCCTGTCGCAGGGCAGGGGAAGGTGCTGGGAGCTGGGAATGGGTTGTGTTCCCTGTCGCAGGGCAGGGGAAGGTGCTGGGAGCTGGGAATGGGTTGTGTTCCCTGTCGCAGGGCAGGGGAAGGTGCTG